GCATCACTAATTGTCTCTTCCTTGCTATAGTTTAAAGAAATTAATATCCATTTCAAAATATTATATAGATACATGTAATGATAAAAGAGAAGTAAAAATATAAATAATATAAATAAATTATATAGTTTAAAGTAAAGCAATATTATATTGTAGTAATCAGAATCCTTTGTCCTGCTCACCTTAGCCAAGAAAGAATTTATGATTCCAAAAATGTTTTATATCATGCAGTCCTAAGAATTTTTACAAAGAAATCTTTATTTCTTTGCATGGATCTACTAATTTTAACAAAATTAAATTCATATTTTTCATACAATTCTAACAACTTCTATGACAAAGTTTTGAAACTTAGATTTCAATAAAGAAACCAGTTCCTAAATGGTCATTTTCAAATATACTGTACCAGGATTAGCCAATAAAGTGATCTCCAAACTCTTGCCTTATGTTTCTTTCAAAATAGAAATTCCAAATATATTAAAAATATTCAAAAACAATCAATTTAAACCGCTTAATTAATGTCATGCTCTTAAATTTATTTTTGCATTAAGTTTTTCCTGTTGTTGTTGTTTTTAAATCTAATTAAGTATTTAGTATATATACATAATGTAAACAATCACAAAAAATATTCAAAAAAATACATTTTGAACTGCTTGTCATGTTTTTATGCCATTTTGCGTTAAGTTGTTTTTGTGTTTTTTTTTCTTGTTTTGTTTTTTGTTATTTTTATCTAATTCAGTATATATACATAATGTAAACAATCACAAAACACAATGTCACTATAACATTCACCCTACATTCAAGCAGTAGAATACATACTTGTCAAACTTTAAAGGGGCGGAGCTAACAACCTCAACCTCACTGAAAACAGGTCACACAAAATGCACATTCAGTTTTTGGTTCTTCACATTTATAAGGGTGTTTTTTTGTTGTTGTTTTTTGGTCATGTTAGTAGCATAGCAAACTTAAATGTACAGATTATGAGATTTATATATAGTGAGGCAGGCATACTAATGAACTGTGGAAAAAAAATGTCATGTTTTGTAGTAAATTTATCAGTTCTTATTTTCTGCTTCCTAAAATTTATGTACGTTTTATAGTAATCCCCGAATTACCTAAATGTTATTGTCTTTGATCATAGCATTAAACTTCGCTGAAAAGTGTGCAATTTTAAGTAAAAATGCAGCAGTCAAAACCAGTAATATAAGTGACAGGAAGTTATTTTCATCGTTATATTAATTATGGCGGTACCCGAGGGCACCAACACCCTACAAGATATTCTACAAATATTCATTATTGGCTGGTCAACCTTCAAATAAGACAGTTTTCTTTCTTTTCAGTGTTTCAGCTAAGTTAGGATATCCCTAATATTCAAAATGTAAACAAAAACATTTTTGACCTAAAAAATGCAAACAAATGGTCAGCACAGAACAGTTTTCACTTAAAAAAGAGAAAAAGAGAGTATTTAAAAAAAATTAAAGCCATGAATTTGTTATGTTTGGATTTTTTTATTACTATTTACCAAAATCTCCTATGCAATACTTCCAGAGGCAATACAAGAATGATTCCTCTGTACAGCTTTACTTTTTTTCTTTCAAATTCTGGATCATAAAGCTAAAGAGAGTGCAAATATTAGAATAATCTAATCATCAAGTAAATATGGTGTATAAAGACAATCAAAATGATTTTTAATAACAATGTAATTTCAAAGGATAAAAAAAAAACAGAGCAAAAATTAATAAAATTGAACAGGAAAAACTGGTTTTAATTAAACATGTTCACATTTCCAAACAAAGCTTTGGATAAATTGATTATAATAAAACTTTTGTTTTAATTCATGAAAAAATGTTAACAGCTAAAAAGTCGTGGTATATAAAACACAAAATGAGCTGCGTCATTTCAAAACCAACATAATGCGTTTGCGACCAGCATGGATCCAGACCAGCCTGCGCATCCGCGCAGTCTGATCAGGATCCATGCTGTTCCCTTACAAACCCTCTTACAAGTAGAGAAACTGATAGCGAACAGCATGGATCCTGATCAGACTGCGCGGATGCGAAGGCTGGTCTGGATCCATGCTGGTCGCAAACGCACTATGTTGGTTTTGTCATGACGCGGCTCAAATCATTTTGTGCAGACTAAGCATTCTATGCTTAATAATCATAACAAGTGCATGGCAATTAATAACTTGAACTAATTACTTGAACTAAGATATAATAGAACTAAGCTCATTCCCAAGGCAGTTACAAGAACTAACTGTTCTGTACTGACCTAACACAACTTCCTGATAGAAGTATCACTACATCCTCATCTCTGAAAAATGTATGTATTTATGCATGACAAATAAAACTTTTGTCATATGAAACTGCAATCCCATACCTACATAATTATGTAACTTAAAACACCATTTAAAGGCCCATTATGCCCCAGAAATGCTTTATTTTTAAGTCACAAAAGCTTTTCATATTTGGTGTCCTGTCATAATTTTTAAAAAGTTACTTGTTGGCCAATCACTTAAGAACCATCTTTTGCTTCTGTTGCTTCTGGAAATTAGTCCAGTCATAGTGATTAAGTATTTTATTTGACAGTCAAAAGACTACTTTGTTTACATTTTGCTACCTTAATTGATGGTTGCCCTTTCGAAAGAACGAAAATTTATTTGTTTCTAAGGCATAATGTGCCTTTAACCTATAACATAAAAATTAAACTGTTTTGAACTGCTTCAGTATTGACTGGTTAAGTGACTAATAAAACTCAAATGCCATGTATAAGAATTAAAGTTTTCAACTTTTTTTTGAAAATTCTCATATTTCTCAAAATGATAGTTTTACATTTTCCCCCAATTTAAACCTTGGTCATTTACCCCAAAATAGCTAGAAAAGACCCTGTGATCACTTTTTAGAGAATAGCTAGAAATGTTTTCAATCAGACAAATTTTATCATGTAGGAAGCATACCTAGCAAATGGTAATTTCATAATGACGGCCTTAACCTAAGAAGTGTAATAGCTTAATAAATTAATTAATACTAATTAATTTTTTTTCAGTGTTTTATTTCCTCTTCCTCCCATACCAGTGTATGCTCCTTGATTTTAACCACAGTATGAAAAGTATGCCTGTCTCACAGTGTCATAATCTGTACATGTGTATTTATGATATTTATCATTTTAACAGTTACATCATAGTTTTATAATAATTTTTAAAAAAAATGACAAATGGTTAGAATAATGTCTGATATTATCTCTTCTTCATGTATATGAAAATTCATTTACATTACAATTTCAAGTGTTGAGCTATATTAACAAATACATGTATATAAGTATACATACACACACAAAAAATAAATGTGATGATCTAATCCTTACAGAAATGTAAAAAAAGTGTAAAGTGTCAAGCCAAATGATAGTAATGATTTTAATTTTAAATGATAATCATAACTTATAAATTTGCATTCAAATGCTTTCATATCTGCAGATTTTGACAAAAGCCAATGCAGTTAAATACACCGATATCTAAAATTTCGATTAAAGCCATTGCAGTTGAGTGCCTTGATATATTAACATTTTGACAAAAGCCATTGCAGTTGAGTGCCTTGATATCTTAACATTTTGACAAAAGCCATTGCAGTTAAGTGCCTTGATATCTTAACATTTTGACAAAAGCCAATGCAGTTGAGGCCTTGATATCTTAGCATTTTGACAAAAGCCATTGCAGTGAAGTGCCTTGATGTCTTAACATTTTGACAAAAGCCATTACAATTTAGGACCTTGATATCTCAAAATTTTGACAAAGCCATTGCAGTTGAGTGCCTTGATATCTTAACATTTTGACAAAAGCCATTGCAGTTGAGTGCCTTGATGTCTTAACATTTTGACAAAAGCCATTACAATTTAGGACCTTGATATCTCAAAATTTTGACAAAGCCATTGCAGTTGAGTGCCTTGATATCTTTACATTTTGACAAAAGCCATTGCAGTTAAGTGCCTTGGTATTTTAGCATTTTGACAAAAGCCATTGCAGTTAAGTGCCTTGATATCTTAACATTTTGACAAAAGCCATTGCAGTTGAGTGCCTTGATATCTTAACATTTTGACAAAAGCCATTGCAGTTGAGTGCCTTGATATCTTGACATTTTGACAAAAGCCATTGCAGTCGAGTGCCTTGATATCTTAACATTTTGACAAAAGCCATTGCAGTTGAGTGCCTTGATATCTTAACATTTTGACAAAAGCCATAACAGTTTAGGACCTTGATATCTTAACATTTTGACAAAAGCCATTGCAGTTGAGTGCCTTGATATCTTAACATTTTGACAAAAGCCATTGTGATTGAATGCACTGATAGCTCAACTTTTTGGCAAAAGCCATAGCAAAAGAATGCTTTAACATTTTAACAGTTTTGAAAAAGCTAGTTATTGAAAATCTTGACAAATTAAAGTCATTACAATTGAATGTCTTGACAAATTAAAGCCATTGCAATTGAAAATCTTGCCAGTTTGACAAATTACAGGCATTGCAAATGAATATCTTGGCAAATTAAAGCCATTGGAATTAAATATCTTGATATTATGACAAATTAAAGCAATTTCAAATTGACTATCTTGACATTTTGACAAATTAAAGCCGTTGCAATTGGATGCCTAATCATCTGAACATTTTGACAAAAGCTTTTGCAGTTAAATAATTTCATACTTCAACATTTTGAAGGAAAAAAAACACCATTGTATTTGAATAATTATTTATGTGAAAATCCTGTGCGGACATAAATGTTATTACAGATGCAAAGGCCTTTGTAACAGCCTCTTGGTTTGTAAACAATATGTGAACATATTATTATGCTCATCCACTTTATAGTCTTTTCCTGAATTATTTTTATCTGAATATAGGGTGACAAGTTAAAACAATGGATGGTGATGCACGGCAAGTCAAAAAAAAAAAAAGTTAAAAAATTAAATGAAAGATGCATTTTTTTCTACTAAACTACACATTTCTATTAATTTCAAACTCACCTTGCACATGGCTTCTCCACATTTGACTTTAATGAAAAGTAATGAATGAGTTGAGGACAGGGCTTGCCAGCACCTAGTGGAATTTGTAGAATACTGCGAGATCGAACCATATACCCCTGGCTTCGGGAGCCATCCTCTTGAATACAGCTGTCGTTGTGTGGCGACCATTGAGACCACTCCGACACCATGCAATCCTGTGGAATGATACAAGTTTGGCTGCCAACTAGTTGTGAAACGCTTGAGCGTAAATGTTCCACGCAATGCCTGAAATGAATGCAATATAATACAGTCTATAAATGGAATATGAAAATGATTGAGAATGTATTAGCCTGAATAAGTTATTGAAATCCTCTCATTAAATGTCCAAAATGTATGTGATTAAATCAATGACATACTATTTCTGTACAAGTCTTTAAAGCTGATTTAATGTCTGAAAAGGTATACAACTGAGTTAAAGTTGTATGATATGGGGTCATAAAATAAATGTTTTGTAGTGAATTCCCCCCAAAGAAAATATAGTTAATATCATACAATACCTGGAAGATCTATAATTGAGGTAATGTCTAAAAAATGTCTAAAAGGTTAATTGACTTAATGTTATACAATGCCTGAAAAGTTTGAAATCTACTTAATGTTACACATTTAATGTCTGAAAGGTTTGTAAGGTTTGGTAATGACTTATTGTAATACAATACCTGAAATGCTTATAATTGATTAAATGTCATGCATTGGCTAAAATATCTTATACCTGAAAAGGGGTCGGACTTGGTTAATTTGTAAATGACATACAATACCTTACAGATGAAAATGTCTGAATTAAGTAAGTAAGTGAATCATCCATTCTGTAGAATATCTTATTATGTTAATTGCTCATACAATTCCTGAAAATGGCTTTTAAGACAAAAATCATACTGATATTGACTGTGTAATGTATGTCAGCATGCATGCATATCTATCTAATAAAGGTGATAATTTTTTGACTGAAACATAAAAAAAATTATATTTATCATTTTTTACAAAAACAGCCTTTGATGTATGCAATATTTGCTGTAAAGCAAATATAAATTTAAAAAAACAAAACAAAAAAAAACCTACATAAGTTATGAAATGAGCTTGTATATAATAAAAAGTCTGTGTCCCATTTTCCCAGACCTTTCATGCCCTCATTCATAACATTATACAGAAGACTTATTATATTTTTTTCTCATTTATAATATATATTTTATTATATAATTCTTATCAGAGATGATTACTATTAATTGATTATATCTCAGAATTGATAACTATTGCCTGTAACCTAACATTTAATCCAATATTTACAATATTTTACTGGGAATTCCATGCTAGAATAAATATTAGATATCTGATGGAAACTGTTAATTGTACCTAAGGGAATTTATTACATTAACATTACAATATTCATGTAAATGAGATGGTAGTATTTTTTCCTGATATAAAATAGTACAATCAAAATGAAATGGAATGGAACATGCAAGGCAATGAAATTGTAAGAGTATGTGAAAATTGCACAAGTTAATTTAATAAATGATTGACAGTAAGGCCTTTCTGCACTAAAGTTCATTGAGTGGAATCAAATCTAAATGCGAGACTATGTGATTAGAAACTTCTTCTGATGATAAAAATTTTTGATTTCTTTTGAATAAATAAGCTTGTTTTGTGATTTATTTCTTGGTTAAAAGCAATACAGATATGTCTACAGATATCTTTCGTGCATATTTTAGATATAAATGGGCACATGACCAATAATTCTTTGCTTAAATTAATCATTTAAAACATTTTTGATAAGCCTCGAACCCTTTTGACTTAAAAATAATTTGAGTCCATGATTATTAAACATGCTCATGTATATTTGATTCCTGCAAAGCATATTTCACACAATTCTCAAGACAATCAATGCTATTTAGGTAAGCCCAGAGATAGGGATACTTACTTATATAAGACTAAGGTTCCGTAATTATTTATACACTGAATATTTCTCTTTTGAAATCCTATTTGAGGGTGAACTTGACCTCTGATATTAGACGTTGCATTGAAAGGAATACAATCGCCCCAAGCTCCAATATTATACGTAAATACATCCACACAATTATCACAGGGAATCATCTCAGAGAACGACGGACATGAATGACCGCCATTTGCAGGGGGAATAATCAGCTCTCGCGTCCGAGTTTTATTTACAATTAAGCATTTATCACAGTTATTTAAATTCCATGAGGAAAACATAGAAACAACACAATTTTGCTGACATCTTAAATCACACTTCTGTTCCGTGTCCGGTTTCGGTTCAAATTGCAAACAAATGTCATCATGTGCTGGATCACCATTTTTACTCCACATGCATGTAACATTTCTGTAACGGATGCCGTGTTTAATGGAACATGTACGGTGTTCAGGACGGAGCGTGCACTCTGACCATTGGTCTGCCACCCATTTGAGGGCGCTCTGATGGTGGTCACACACCTTGAAACATTCCTGCCAATCCTGAAACAACAAAACTTTCATTTTTATTTTTACCCAACAAACTTATTACTTTGTATACTGAAATTGCTGTGCTTGAACTGGAAATTTAAAAACTTCAAAATCAAAATATTTAAGAAGTAAATAGTATATATACAGGCCAGTTCTCTGCAAACCAATGGTCCATTGTAAGGCTGATCAAACTATACTATTGCCAACTTAATTTTAGCTTTTTTTAAAACTTACTCACAATTGCACAGAAAGTCAAAGCCAGACATGATTGACCATGGTAATTGTTAAAATAAATTATAGTTCAAGGTCAAACAATTGTCAGATATTACAAAGGATAATATCGGAGTAATGCCAAATGGCAACAAGGGCAACACATGTGGTGTTAACGTTTGTCTTATAATTGCATGTTAAAAAGGGGCATAACTCTGAATTGCAAGTTAAAAAGGGGCATAACTCTGAGTATATAGCTTTCAGAATTATGCACCTTGTCTAACAACTTCCCCTTGTCATGTATAGCAACTTTTTAAAATATCATATATTTTTAAATAATTGTCTACATTAAAATTTTAACATGACCACAACAGCACACTAAACGTTTTCTTTGAAACAGACTAAAAATGAAATATATGGTACGAAGAAAACTTATGAAATAATTGTCTTTAAGTGGAAATTAAAATATACTTTTTTGTAAAATTATCAAAGTACAATAATAAAATGTACAGATTTTTGTCAAGGAAAAGATTCAGAAAGTAAGTCAATGAAAAGGTACATTAAAATCTCCTTTGTAACTTTCAAAATTCAGTAAGGGAGATAATAGAATCTATCATTGGGTTAGATAGAGGATAGGGAAATCTCAACCCGAGGGTGATCGGTTCCATCGGGAACGAGCCTTGGCGAGTTCCCGATGGAACCGATTGCCCGAGGGTTGGGATTTCCCTATCCTCTATCTAACCCAATGGTTGATTATTTTTCTCACTCATCTGAACACACAAATATCAGTGAATCTACTTGCTACGCCCATTACAACGTACCTAGTTTTGAAAAGGGGGCGGGGCTTAGGCGCCTGACTTTCTATGATTTAAAAGCATTATGTACGTCCGCAAAAAAATGTTCTGACCAAGTTTATGTGTGAAAAATTTAATGAAAATAAATTCATATGAGACCCCTCATGAAAAAGCAAGGTTATCATGATGAAACACATCGATATTAAAAACGGAAAGTACCAAACTATAAGTGTTTATAAGGAATTCAGTCCATACTTCAATGGTTGACAAAAAAGCGTTTACCGTTTGCAAAGGTTTTTCTACTTTTTCGGTTATTTTGGCCGAATATTCAATTAAAATATATCAAAATGATATTCGTCATCAAAAAGCATCGTTATCATAACAAAAAACATGAATGTTTTTCAGGCAAAGTGTCATAATATCCGATTTTACGAAGAACGTTTCGATATTTTAAAGTGTGCTATTTTTAGTAACAGATCGTTATTGGAAAGGGCGGATCTAGGTAGAGTAGGACTCATTGCAGTGTGAAAGTTAATATCAATCTATTTTGATTCCGTAGACAATTTAATAGATTAGCTTACAAATTTTTAATACATTTTGACCTTTTGACGTTTAATTTTTGTTAAAATAGGAGTGAATCGCGTATTATTTAGAACTGCTGCACGTTGAGTGTGAGATAAGCCCATGTGAGATAAGATTTTCCAACACCGCTATTTTTAGTATCATTTAAGGATTTTTCTATCTGGTTAGTGAGAAAACTGGAGTTGTACCTTAGCTAAAGGTTTTTTTAATCAGCTTCATTCGGAAACAGCTAACATAAACCTTTCATTAAGAGATTATATAGAGAACATTGTAATTAAACTGAAAGTATATGTTTGTGTTACCTTTGGTTTTGATGAGTGTGAACACAAGTCTTCATCATAGGTATTATAGTTGAACTCCCCTGCCTCGCTACAATAGACATGTCTGTACTGACGTCCTCCTTTCCCACAACTTTCATGTTGGCAATCAAACCATGCCCCTAAAATAGTCAAACATCAAAGATAAGACAACTCTTTCTATATATTTTTATATATAACCTCCCTTGATATATTTGATCTATAGGCAATAAAGCTGTATCTCTGAAATATAAGCCTTCTTTTAGTAAACAAACTTTGTTTAAGCAATTAAAATTTATCCCTTTTGTAACGCTTTTTTCCTGCTATTTTTTGGGGGAAAAAGACCTCTGGCATAAATTTGGAAATATTATTTGACATTTTGAGAAAATTGAGAAATTTTATAAAGTTGAATATCTACCTTATACATGACTTTTTGGTTTTTTAACATAAGTATGAACAGATTAACCTATAAACAAGTCAAAACAGTTCAATTTTTTCAAAAGACTTTTGGCCTGCTGTTTTGTTGTTGTTGTTTTTTTGGCTCCTGGAGGTAGCTCTTACCAAAGCTGTCAACCTACTACCCATTCATTATTTTAATGGAGCAAAATAGTATAACAGATATTAACAGAAAAACAAAATGTTTCCTCTTTTTTCCATACAATGCTATCAATTTCAAGATGTTATTTCTGTTATAACTTATACCAGTAATTGAGTATGAAAAGGTTGGAAAACTTATTTTCTGTTCTTTTTTTTCAACAATTATTAAAAGGGACCAAAACATTTTTATTACTAAGATACAAAGAAAATAAGAATCATAAATAACCGTAGGTAAAGATATAATGTTGGATATTCCGGGAGATAAGCCAGTTTCAGCACCTGCAATAGTTTTAGCTTAAATACCCCGGAAATGGAAAATCTTTATTATCAAAATATTGATACATTAAAACAGGGTGCAAAATCAACCCAGATTATCATTCCAGTCCTTTCATGTTGGTAAATACAACTGATGTATAACATGCAACTGAAAAAACAGCAAATTATTTTCAGACATTACATTTAACAGGTGAGTTCAAAGAGAATGAGATTCCTGTTAAAATATTTACACTATTTTTTACATTTAATGCAACAAAAACTCTCTCTTTTGTCAGCCTTCTCTCAGTGCACAGAGAAGAGTAAAGAAAATAAATAAACAAGCTAATGACAAGACGAATGCAGTATGGAGAACTAAACATAATTTTCTGAGTATGTCCAAACATATAGTATCATAATGCTATACTTCAAAGTAAAAAAGATACTTTTGTATAAAATTTTAATAAAGCACCTTCATTCATTGATACTTTTATTTCTATTGTACAGTAATCATACTTAAACTATTCTATCTCATGAACAGAGAAAACTAATCTGCCTCTCTGTTAATCAGAGTCCAACAATTCATATTCACATTTAAACAAAAACCAAAAAAAGATCATTATGGTAATTAAGTACATATTTTATCTGATTTTTCCAAGTATGTGTATGTACAATGGGAATAATGTGTAATTATTAGGCTTGATTGTAATTGCTTAACATTCTAATGGTGGAGATGCGTGTTTCTGAGTAACCACAGTTGAAATACTGTCAATTTTTTTCAAACACTATCTTTTCCAATGGAAATACCTATATTCATGTATTTTATCACTTCCTTCCATTGACACCATGCTGCATTCATTCCAAAAAATGTTAGCAATTCTAGGAACAGCTGTATTAATATGAATTTTCAATGGAAATACCTATACATTTTATCACTCTGGAATTGTCTTTCCCTTTCATTGACACTATACACTATTCATACCAAAAATATTAGCAAATCTAGGAACAGCTGTATTATGAAATTTCAAATGGAAATACCTATACATTTTATCACTTTAATGGAAGTGACTTTCCTTTCATTTACTGACACAAGGCTCTTTTCATACCAAAAATGTTAGCAAATCTAGGAATAGCTGTATTATGAATTTCCAATGGAAATACCTATACATTTTATCACTTTAATGGAAGCGTCTCTCCTTTCACTGACACAATGTTTCATTCATACCAAAAATGTTAGCAAATCTAAAAACAGCTGTATTGTGAATTTCCAATGGAAATACCTAAACATTTTATGACTTTAATGAAATTGTCTTTCCTTTCATCGACAACATGCTCCATTCATACCAAAAATGTTAGCAAATCTAGGAACAGCTGTATTATGAATCAGGTTTAAAAGAACATTTACCGTCCTTGGGCCAAAAGCATTCTCTAGAGTTAAACATATGTTCTTAATTTACGGACACATAATTTTGTCTGAGACAAGAAAACTGTGAACTCTTTCCTTGCCTTAAGACATGATACAAATAATCAAACATTAAATCTATTTTCTGATTAATATGTTCCCAGGGAAAACAGAGGCAATGATGGTACCTTAATGTTAAACTTTCTGATAATGCTATAAAGGCACACACATGTCTAGGGTGCGGAATTAAAGAGTTTACTTAACTGAGATTTTTTGAATTTTTTTGAAAATCTATATCCTGCTGTTTTTGTTACAGATCATTCTGCTTTTTGCTTCGAATTTGGAGATGTCCATCCAAAATTATTCCAGGGATTATATTATCATAATCTTTTAAAATTTAGCTACCAACTGTAATATAGAGACTGGTCATATTGCATGGATGTGCAGACTGACCTTGCTCTTTACTGGCATGACATTTTGTTTCCAGCATGGTAAAAATTCAACCAAAGGATTTCAATGCCACAATGCTGAAAATGTGCAACTAACAGCGGTCTTCCGGTTGGACTGTTGAAATGTGCAGGCTGGTAAGGGGTATGTGGGATAGCAATATTTGACTATTGCCATTATTACCTAATTTACGGATAACATCATACAAATAGCAAAAAAAAAAAATCACATAAATCAATGAACAGTTTTGTCCAGATGAAATGATACAGAAGTCCTTTTAAGATATTTAGCATAGTTAAAGGGTTAAAATAATGTAACAGAGCATAGTTACAAAATGCAACTGAGCACTAAAATCTTTATTCTGCATGTCACCATCTAATTAATTTAAATTTCCTGTCATATGCTTTTTGAGTTTGTTATTGTGACTGTTTTTCCTGAATATGACCATTTTTCTAAACATGTCTGTTTTTCACAACATTATTTTGATTTGTAGTTATGAATTTGTCACAAGTAGCCTTGTTACAGAACTTTATTGTGCCAAATTACTATCCATTGCTCTAAATTTGTTAAGAAAATTACTTGCTATGTTACGCTGTAAAACATAAAAATTTAATCATAATGGGCTGTCCCAGACACACTAAACAAAATTGTATGTAATAAGGGGCATAAACCATGTCAAATCAGAATGGTCTGCAATAACTGGCATCTATTGTTTATTAAAGTGTAGGGTGGATATTTGAATGTAATGAAAATGGGGCATTAAGGAAGGACACTTGCACAAGATAATATATTGAACTTTACAAGTTTCCAATGGAAATGGTCCAACATTTACAGTGTCTAACATACCAAGCCCACATATCTGGGTTCAGACATTTGGTTTTATGTTGCTAATAACATGGTAGCACTTGGTACATGAAAAGAAAATATTCAGAAATTTCAGTTTATTGGAAGCACACAGTTAAGAATTTGTGATTCATTACCCAAACTCTATTTTTATAGAAGAAATATCTTTGAAGACGACAACATAAATCATAGACATTTATATAAAATCAACATACCAATTACCAAATTATTTTATATACTATGCAAGTATCTCTTTATACAATTTTATAGCACTGCAACAAATCATTCCATACTTACAACATAAAGGGAGGTAATCAATGAAGCAGAAATTTATGACAATTTTGTTATGTATTAAATTTTATTTTAGCTATAACTTAAGCTATAACTATTTATATAGACCATTTATCTCTAAATCAAAGAAGTATATTAACTTTCACAGGGCTTATAAAAGAAATCATGGATATTTTAAGTCAAGTTGTATTCCAGGTGTTACAACAGCATAGAGAAATTTATTTCCAAATACCTTAAGTAGTTTTAAAGATTGATATTCCATGCAAAACTTTAGCCAAAATTTTTCCAAGTTGAAAAAGGGCCATAATTCTGTCAAAATCCATGTTGAAATTATATGCCTCTATCATGATCCCAAAGACTTGTATTAAGTTTCAAGTGAATACCTTAACAGTAGTTTTGAAAATTGATCTTGCATGCAAAACTTTAACCAAGAATTTATCAACTTCAAAAGGGGCCATAATTCAGGTAAAATCTATGCTAGAGATATGGGCCTTGGAAAGTGACCTCTTATTATCCTCTTAAATATGTGTTTATTTACAAGAATGATAAGATATGATGTTAAATACAAAACTTTACAAAGTGTTACCCCTATGCCAAGTCGGCAACACCCACAACCAGATAAGTAGGATAGCCCAACCATTCTTCGAAAAGTCGTGGTGAAAAACTCATCATTTGTAAAAGCATTGTATTCATTCATCTTATTTGCTCAAAATAGGTTTTTTATTTATATTACTTTTGTTTCAATTGTTGCACAACAGGGACTGGAGAAAATCTCTTACCAGACTCCCAATACTATCCAATAACTTGGTATTACTTTGTCAATTAGTTTAAATTTACCAAATATAGCTTTTTTGTTCATTGCTGGGATAATCTAATTTCTGTTTCTGATCACAAATGAGGAAGTAAATTTATATTAATCCTAGATTCTGATGAATTAAAGAAATAGGAAGGGTGACACAAATTGATAAAAAATTTAGCTTTTAACCCTTACCACACTATTTACCTCAAATGGACTTGTCCATCTTTCAATCTGGACTAAACCATTCATCATATCTGGGGAAATTTTCAAAATAAGAACTGACTAATTAGCAAAGAGTGTAAACCATGATCACAAGTCAAAGGGTTTGAGGGGTATTCAAATGATCCCAATTCCAGCAAACAAAGTTAAACTGTACTTTATTTCAGATGCACAATAACTTTTAACTTGGAAGCTGAAAGGCTAAAAATAAAATTTTCTTAAAGACAATTTAACACATATCGTTGACAAACTTTCGTAGTAGTTTTAATTCAGCATTTACTTCAAAGGAGTAC